TTGATGACTCAGGAAATCGAGCCCTCACATGTTCAACAGGGCTGTTTTCACATATTGAAAATCTTCATTCACAATTTATATACCGTGTGCACAATTCAACAATCATCCGAAAGGATCCTGAACTTTACAATGGTGAACGCCGTCTCGCGTGCGCTGGAATCGTCCAAGGCCTTAGAAATACAGTCCAGTGGTGGTCTGGAATGTTGACCGCGTAATTGGGACCTGAAAATAGATCAAGCTGATTTGCGCATAATATCCTGCTGAAAATGACGTTCTTCTTCGCGATTTTATTTACATTAATGGCATGTCCCCATAGCTCACCAGAGCATGTCTTTGGAATTTGTTCCAAAATTTAGACACTCCCTTAAAGTAGTCTTTAATCCAATAATATGTCTTGTCTAGAACAACGCGTGACCGAAAAAGCTCAAGTTAGGAAGTACGCTCAATGGTACGTGCTTAGATATTCTCCCCGAGTCGGTTCCAAAAGCTCCCCACCGTCGAGTTCACGCTTTCCAGTCCACGGCCAGCCAAGCATAGGCTTGCCCTTCCGAAGCCGCTTGCGTACACATGCCAGAATATTGCTGCTGCATTCTGGAAACGCTCAGCGAGCAAAGCAGAAGTTATCTTTTAGCGCCAGTCGTCACTGATCGGCCGCCGACCATACACTGTAATATGTATGGTCATGTCAAGTAATCGACTTGATTTAACTTAGCGAGTGCGCCCATCGTTTTAAATTCCCACCGTGAACACTGCCATTAGCAATAGAACCCTCCTCATGGAAAGCGGACTGAAATGCTCTCGGATTGCTCGCGGTGGCAAAGATGGCCTAATTTTATACGAGCCTGACGCCCCTTGCAAGTATGCTAGCGCTGCAAAAAGCGCTAGCATACATATGCACCGGGATAGAGTAATATATGGGTCTAGTGCTTTCAAAATTTACAGGTGTTACAATATTTAGATTGGGAGATGCAGTATTACGGATAATGAATGATTGTTTACAGGACTGCATGATATTGGTCCCTAAAACTAGCGTAGTTCTCGAAACGGGTATACAAGGTGGTAGAGGTTCAAAGTAAAACATATTTGTCTGGATGTGGTTTCATCCTCCCGAGAATTTCTCCAAAACTGGTGGCTTATATATATATATATATATATATATATATATATATATATATATATATAGATGTGTGTGTGTGTGTGTGTGTGTGTGTGTGTGTGTGTGTGTGTGTGTGTGTGTGTGTGTGTGTGTGTGTGTGTGTGTGTGTGTGTGTGTGTGTGTGTGTGTGTGTGTGTGTGTGTGTGTGTGTGTGTGTGTGTGTGTGTGTGTGTGTGTGTGTGTGTGTGTGTGTGTGTGTGTGTGTGTGTGTGTGTGTGTGTGTGTGTGTGTGTGTGTGTGTGTGTGTGTGTGTGTGTGTGTGTGTGTGTATGCAAGTCTTGTGATACGCAAGGGCAAATGTGCATTTAATTTATAAATCAACCCGCCTTTAGTCATATATATTACCTTAAGCTAGTTAACGCTTCTAGGACATTCGTTCCCCATTCTCAAGCAATATAAGATGGTCGAACAGTAATTATTCGAGTATGGCAAAATACCAGGCATGCTCTACGAAACAATGATTGGTGAGCTATAAGTTAACAGGTTCTACGTCCGAATATCTAGCCAAATTGCAAAACACAAACATACGATCCCTTTTCCAACCAGTCTGACACCATGGAAAGGCAAAGACATCGAATCACCCTGCTGTCATTAGCTGACTGAAAAGGTCCAAAGTAATGGATTGCTTAAGCTGTTTATTGAACTCAAGCATTCTTTTTCTGATGGGAATAGCTGCAAGGACTTGAAGACGGCGTTTGTCCGGACATGGTTTTAGTATCAGTGCGTTTTCAATCAAGACAAAGAGCAGGAGTTATTGATGGTTGGTATTGCGCAAATGTTGGCATGGCGCTCCCTCACGCACGTGAATAGCAATGCGTCCTGATAGGGATAGTGTGGTCATTACAATATGGGTTAAGTTGCGGAGCCGGTAGTCTCCATGCGGGCATCTCAATTCATGCACTCTATTAGTGCGCTTTAGATAGCTTTTTAGTTTGCGACACCTTTTTATCTTTGTTTTTTAAGTTTTTAGATTTTAGTTTGCTACACGATCTACTTGACAATAGAGTTTTCCCTTCGAACAGCGGAAGGGTGCCTCCGTTGTGCAGCATCGGAGCATTTTGGGCCACCGCAATGAGGTCCCCGCTCGAATACCTGTTTGCAGATATGGACATGCGCTGGCTAGAGAACCGTGTCCTCACAAACCTTAACCTTAGAACCACACATTAACTGCAGATATGTCGATGACATATTTGTTGATGTCAGATACGAGGCCCACCTCCACCAACTGCAGACCGTCGTGCAGCGGTAATCGTAGTCACGAATCACAACTGGCGTGAGTATCGGCATCCACTTACCTTTTCTTGACATTGATGTGAGTGCGAGCAGCGGATCTTTCGTCACAAAAGTGCCCCGTAAACCCACTTATGCTGGCAAGTATGACCGCGGCTAGCAAATGCCCAGGGCGTTACCGGACGATCGCAGTTCGTGCGTTTGTACGACGTGCCCTAAAAAATTGCTCCAGCTGGTCTACCATGCACCATCAACTTGAACGGTGTAAGCAATGGCTCGTTAACGTGCCCGGGTGGCCGGTTGGATGCCCTTCGCTCGGGTGAGGGCCAATTTGACCTACCTCAGATCTCAGGAACTAAGTAAGCTAGAGACACCAAATTCGCAGCATATGATGGCCTGTACACGAACTCACTAAGTCAAAATCTGAGGTTCCTAGGTGGTGACTTTCAGGTCAAGTTACGTCAAACAAGGTCGAACTTCAGATTGGTTTCCAAAATGCCCCCAGAACCTAGATACCTGTTCTAAAGAACAGTTCACATGCCCATCAAAGGCCAGCGACCTTGTTTGACCTTCGAAGGTCATGGTGACAAGAATCCTGCAAGGCTGCTTCGAGTTTTGCATTTGAATAAGCGACAAAGACTGCGCTAGCCAGAGACTTCGCTCACTGACGCAACATTGTAAGTAATGATCGACTTATGATTCAGCTCATTAAAAGTGCGAGAAATGCGATTCATGTCTTGACTTAAAGCAGCATTTTCCTAGTGGGCCGACTGAGCTTACCACTTTCCCCAAGACGATCGGCTGATGAGCCGATTCATGCTTTAGCTCGAGTCGAACATAAGTCACTCACACGTAATTTTTTCAGAGTTAGGAGACGTAATCCTGTCCATCCTCAGACGCCCAACAAATATATCATTTATAATACTTGGCCTGTAAAAATAAAGTAAGCTTTGGTGTCAAACCCATACAGTGAGCTGCCGTGACAACACATGGTTGCCATCAACTATCATGACATCAGAGTTTGGCGCCTGTAGAATGCTTGTCCTTTGCTGCAATTGTGCGGATGGATTGGGACGAGGTATGAGTACCATGTATGGAACAATTGTTGGAATCGTCCTAGGCTGGTGTGTTAACACGCGCCCGGATGGCCGGTTGGATACCCTTTGTTCGGGTGGAGGGTCAATTTGACCACTACCCTGAGGTCGCAGGAATTAAGAGAATTAGAGACACGAAATACACAGGGTGTGTTGACCTGTACATGAATTCAACCAGGCCGAAGTTTGAGGTCCCTAGGTCATGACCTTTGGGTCACGTAAGGCCAAACAAGGTCAATCTCCAGGTTGGTCTCCGAAATGCCCTATAAACTAAATGCCTGTTCTAAGAAAATGCTCACGTAATCATTTAAGGTCAGTAACTTTGTTTGACCTTTTGAAGGTCATGGTTACCAAAATCATACAGGACTGTTTTGAGTTTTGCATTTGAATAAACGAAAAAAGATTATAATAGACAGTAGGTTTTTAGAACAAAATGTTAACCTGGGTCATTTCAGGTTAGTGACCTATCCTAACCTTTGAGACGTGAATAAAAGATGCATAATGCGGTTTCTGTTATCAGTAAATTCAAATGAACACCAGAAACTTCCCCATACAGCGAGCAGTAGAATACCAGAACAAATTGGCTTTAACCTTGGTCTAACCTTAAAACTGACCATAGAAAAGTTGAATTTGCTCTTTCTATTGTGTTTGTTGTGTTCCCAAAGAAAGTATCTCGGAGATGTGTGGTTTCGTCTAATACTCTATTATTACATCATATTGAACGATTCCCTAGAAATTGACTTCGCAGAATACATGGCCTGAATTTGACCTGCCACGGGTCAGTGACCTTGCCAGATAAATCTACATTTTTTAACCCAAACAATCTGCTTCTGAATTGCCCACAGCTATGCAAAATTTGGCGTGACTGCGCCGCGCGGTCCGGAAATTATTCTTGAAAAACCTTCGGGGAGGGGAGGGGGCAATTTGACCCACACCCGAGCGCGCGTTAATATGTACATAACACCTCGGACCGCCGGCCGTCGTCAGGTTTTTGGGGACCTGACGTAAAATGCCGTAACACAAGTTGAGTGAACACCAACGTTACATTGAGTGAACACCAGCGTATGCGTGAGTGAACAAGTGCCCAAGGTTTGGGCGCAGAGCCGAGACGTGCTCCTAGTGGAATATTTCAAAGTAAAATGCTACTACAATGGCACTATGAGATATACGTCTTATCGTGGAAATGTTTAGCGTACATTCCGTTGGTTGCATAAGTGATTTTAAATCTAGATAAGTTAAGGCTATTAATACGCTGAAACGTGTCATAACTAACTAGGTTTTGATGATAATTGTGCTTTTTTGGGGCTTATCGGCTACAAAGGCCACTTCACGACAGTATCTCAGGTCATGAGATACTTTTGAAAAGATGCTGAGGTGGCTCTGCAATTTCGTTAGGAATCGGCTAAATGCATACGTGGAAGCGCCGCCACTGTGTTTAGGTACTCATTTTTTGGGGTACCTAAACATGGAAAACTGCTTACAAACCCGACGATGTCAACCACGAGGTCAGATGCAATGAGTCAGCGACGCCTGCTATTTATTGCCAAAATGCACACTTGTGTGACATGTCCTGCTACGTCCAGAGTGATGGACTAAATAACAGTGATGCGGTAGCACCAGCATACGTACGCATAAGGACGCACGAGGTCCTGTCGTACAAACGGTCATTTGGCTCGTCGCGTCCCAGGGCTGTGAGGCTCGCATAACCTTCCGGTGAGGTGCTGATGCCCACTAATTTGACTATAGTCATAATCATTAAACGCGATATCTTGTGCCTTTCAAGTTCAAAACTCAGCCCTGCTCCCCTGCTGATGGGTTCGAAAATTGATCTGGATACCGAAACCTCTGAAGTCAAGACGGCAACCTTTAGAACGATGGTCAAAGGATGATCTTCAGCCGTGTCATGGCTTCACGCCTTCTGGCTCATTGGGCCAGGTGAGCTATTGCAGCCAGGTCGGCAGGCCCTCTGTGCAATATTTCTCGTACTTTGTCTTGTCCGAGCAGTCGAGCGTGTTCTTCCTTAGGCACTTAAGGCAGCAGCGTGTCAGTGCGCCTACGCCATCGATGTTTGTAGTCACCGGCAGAGAACTGGGCGTGCCCCATGAATCCACGCAGTAGCACTGGTCCTGACCGCACTGCTCCGGTTTGTAGTTACCTGCCGACAAGCCAGTGCTCAGTGTGCAGGTCTGCTTAATGCTACCACACAGTGTTCGGCGTATTCAACGACGTGGAAGCGTCACAGAATACTAGGGAACAAACCGTTCTCGAAATCGGTTTGGTCCACACACCGCCATGGAGGTGCCGCGGATAGGGTCTGCCCCTGGAAATTGAGGGGCTCTACACGATCTGCGCCTGAGAACATAATAGGGGCGTGCCTGGCTTCATCTTTGCACAAGATAACACCTCTGGGTACGGATCAAAAGTTATACGGAAATGCATGGCGCAGGTTTCCCCGTCTCGCACCTATTCCGCCACATGCCACTTATGCTGTTCTCAAGCTTCCTGCCCATGTCCATGACTTTCATACCGATTGCACAGAACTGGTCAGAATTGAAACTGACTGGTCCAGTTCGTGAAATATTGTCTCTATAACTGATCTAGAGTCACAACTGTCGCACAACATAACTTTGCAATTGCTAATTTGCCAACGACGTGTGCTGCTGTTTGCAACACCATATATTCAAAAGAACATTCTGCCACATCTAACGAGATTAGTCATGTCAAAAAGAACTTTCTGGTTTCATGCTATTTCACTGATAAGACAGTTCTGAACGCTAAGTAGGTTATCAAACGCAAAAATCAATAATGTCAGAAATTTGGTCTTATGTCGTCTTGCCCCCCCCCCCCCCCCCCGGCGACGCCATGAGCCAAAATGTTATCTTAATGACGGAAGCACCGTGTAGTACTCGCCATCACAGTTATCGCCAGACAAAACCCCAACAAACTGATCGCCATCGCCAGAAGAAACCCCAACATAAAAATTGCAACCCAAAGGGCAAACTCCTGTGGAAAGGGTTACTCGATAGATGAGGAATATATGCCATATGATAATCAGCAATATTTTTTTCCTTGTCAGAATGTATCTGGTGTTACCTGGCATTCTTTGGGAGTCGTTCGTGCTTCCTGGATTTGACATTACCGGATGCGCCGTGATGATCCTTGCTTGTGTGTTGTTTTTTTTTTTTTGCCTCCTGGTACTTGGCACTCCCTGGTACTCTAACAATCGTCAGTACTACCTGGGATGCTCTAAGGTTCTTTGCAGTATTCAATATGTGCAACAACATAAAATAATGCTCGTGACACTCACCATTTGTATCGCAAGCGACGTTCCTCAGGCTGTACGCGATTGCATCGTAATCATTATGATCTCGGGCGCACTCTGAAACAGCGTCGCGAAACTAGTCAGCCTCGCCCTCACCCTTTTGTAGCAAGATCAAGATCGACCAGAGCCCTGGACACGGTGCCAGCGGGATCCAGCTGAAGGATGTCGCTGGAAAATGTAAAATGCGTGCCAGCATACGGTCCAATAAACTTCACTCCCGCCAGCGGTGGGCGGGTCACATGTGGCCCAGCGAACGTCGATGGCGAATAACATATTGTGAAATATCCTTCAGCAACCAACGCAGCGACATCTGGCCCTAAATCCGTCCGAGACTTGGCTCGCTGGGAGGCTGAATTGACACTCCTCACGCCCAGCTGTGGGCTGAAATATGTGACACAGCAACGTCGTACCGTAGAGAAAAGTTTTGTGGAGTCTGCTACTCACGACAATTCATGCTATTGGCGTCTGCGTGAGAGCTGTCCACGTAGTAGTTGCCAATGTTGTTTCCCGCTCTGTCACGACACTTGCAGCTGGGGGCAGGTAATAAGCAATGCTGAAGTCATATCGGGAAGCTTGCGTGCCAGCCTTCACATACCTGAACGTGCATCAACAGACGGAACCGAACAAAGAAGCTGCAGGCAGACGCGTCTGCAGGGGGGGGGGGGGGGGGCGCTCATTGCTTACAGGCATTGTCAGACGAACCTTTGATCTTTGAGACTGCAGTACGTCGGGTAGTAGCTGCCGTCCGGTTAGAGGCATTGCCGGACGAACCTTTGGTCCTTGGCACTGCAGTATGGTTAGAGGCATTGTCAGACGAACCTTTGGTCCTTGGCACTGCAGTACGTCGGGTAGTAGCTGCCGTCTGGTTAGAGGCATTGTCAGACGAACCTTTGGTCCTTGGCACTGCAGTACGTCGGGTAGTAGCTGCCGTCTGGTTAGAGGCATTTTCAGACGAACCTTTGGTCCTTGGCACTGCAGTACGTCGGGTAGTAGCTGCCGTCTGGTTAGAGGCATTGTCAGACGAACCTTTGGTCCTTGGCACTGCAGTACGTCGGGTAGTAGCTGCCGTCTGGTTAGAGGCATTGTCAGACGAACCTTTGGTCCTTGGCACTGCAGTACGTCGGATAGTAGCTGCCGTCTGGTTAGAGGCATTGTCAGCCGAACCTTTGGTCCTTGGCACTGCAGTACGTCGGGTAGTAGCTGCCGTTCGGTTAGAGGCATTGTCAGACGAACCTTTGGTCCTTGGCACTGCAGTACGTCGGGCAGTAGCTGCCGTCTGGTTAGAAGCATTGCCGGACGAACCTTTGGTCCTTGGCACTGCAGTACGTCGGGTAGTAGCTGCCGTCCGGTTAGAGGCATTGTCAGACGAACCTTTGGTCCTTGGCACTGCAGTACGTCGGGTAGTAGCTGCCGTCCGGATCGCACTTCGCGGAGAAGTTGGACGACTCGTGGATGCCGTGGGAGACAAGAAGCGTGGCCACTTTCCGAGACGCCCTGTTCATGGACTCACATAGACGGTTATAGCTGCCCGGAAAGTGTTTAGGGTCATCTGAAACGGAAAACAGCCAGAAATATCTGTATAATTCCCGCATTTCGGACGATAGCTACAACAACAATTTAAGTCAAAATGGATGAAAGAAATTGTTCAACCCACATGGATCGCTCCAACAACGATAACCACCCCGCTACGTCTGAGCATTTCCACATGCCGTCAATACGATGTAATTCAAGCCATAATGTGCTATGCCGTGGCTAAAATGCCACGTGACATGCACCTGAATGGCCGGTTCATTACGACGCGCCTTGGTTGGGTGGTCACTTGAGGACCCCCTCCCCGAGATGTCAGAAACTAGGAGAGCTAGACACAAAACTTCCGTTGTGTGTGTAGAACCGTGTGTAAACTAATTGCACGATTTTTTTCATCTCTAAGTAGTGACCTCCGGGTCGACTCAGGTCAAATAACGTTAGGCTTGAAATCGGCGTTGAGGTGTCTTCAGATCTACACTGGCAACCAACTTGGAGCTAGATACATTTTCAAGGCAAAGTCGTTCAAGGTCATTGTGGTTTAGACCTTCAGAAAATAAAATGTCACAACATCTTTCCAGCCTTTCTGGTATCAACACCGAACAGCCGGCTCCGTGTCGGTCTGAGCTCTGGGGCCCCATTTTCAAAGCATGGACAGGGCCGAGTCCGCGACTTACATCGATCAGGCCCCTGAAGCAGTTTACGACCCACGGTAGCTAACAGGGGTTCTGTATGTGCAAGATGACACGAGTCGGCGACAGGCACATTTTCTGAACAGGGTACAGGGATGGGGCCGCGGATGTCGGAGGGCCTTTGGCGCTGGACTCTATTTACTGGCAATGAATTAGATATGAAAAATCACGATGAACGATTCCACAGTGAGAGAGTGAGGGCCCCTATGTCACCGCCATGGGTCCCACGTCGAGGTGCCCCTCCGCTTCATTCAGTTAAGGGCCCCGATAATGCAACTTGGAGTCCCTGTGCCAATGATCGAGTCCCAGTCGCCGGTAATGGACACGCTGCGATCGTGAGGACCTCTGCGTCGGTCTGGATTTCTTTACCCCGGCCAGAGAGCCTCCAGTGTCAGAGATGGGGTCGATACATGGTGTATGCCTTTGAAGGCCTGCGGATCCACTAGGGGGCCCGTTTCGTTTAATGGCAGCCGGAGGGTACCACGGGCTGGGACGGAAGAGCCTCTGCTCCTTGCTTGGGAAAGATAAAACGTTCCCTTTCTTTTCCATAAGGTGAATCGAAATGAGGTCAAACATTTGCACAAAATGTCTCTCTGGAAACGCCCATCGTTTTTCAGAATAGTCCGGCAAACTTATCCAGACCAAAAAGTGTCCAGCATGTGAGTGCGTACTCGCAATATCTAAAAGCAGGGTCATCGATGCCTGGGGTTGCAGTTTTCGTCAAACCCAGTGGTGTTGGTCGCTGCAGTTGATACCAGACGGCAGGCACCGGGGGCCACCGTGTGTTACGAAATAATGTTTTCAAATGTGTTTCAAAATAGATTGATGGTCTTCAAAAATTAAACAGGGACGTCCCATAATGCTAAGATTTTGCAGCGCTCTCAATGCTGACATATTTCCATTTCCTGTCTGCAAATTTCACAGGTGTAATTCACGGTACGGACTTCGTTTAAAACCTACGGATTGATAGACGCGGCGTTAGAAGGCATTTCGTTTATATTTATGCTATAGTCCAAATTGTAAAAAACCATATGTTGATCCGTGGCCATTGTTCGTGTTTTACATCACCCGGTTCGTCTTCTCAAGCTGAAGTCGCTTATTTAAATCATAATCCGAAATTGTTATAAGCTTCTAGCTTTTTTAGCTAAAAGCTTGTGCAATTTTCAGCTACTGGTTTGAATAACCGAATTCAGCTTGAGAGGACGAACCAAATGACGTAGAAAAACAAATGACAAAAAACAATATATGGGCTTTTCACCACGAAGACGACAGCGTGGTCGTCTTCGGTCGCCCTTTGGCCGCCGCGTGGTGTTAGTTGCTAGATCGATGCTGTGCGGCCTGTAGAGATTGCAACGCCGGGTGATGGGGCCTTCTTTTTAGAAATTGTCAGCGCGCATGTCCAAAACTTTGATTAATTCTCTCTAGCTGTGCATGGCTTGATGTCAACAAGTTACACCGTTCGTAAGTCATTTAAAGAAAAAAACACAGGGGGAGGGGCAACTTAACTCTCGCGAGGCCGTGTGTAAAACGGGGATTCAGTGTCTTATCAGCAAAATTGAGTACAACCGGGAGATTAACCGGATGAAATGTGCCCAGTTCGGGAAGCCCGGCCAGGCGGTGGGCAACGCCCGACGTACAGCAGGGCAGGCCAGTCCACTGCTCCCGGGAAACGGTGCCGCCGTACAGCTCAGCCGTCGTAGAGTTGACGCAGAAACACACGTCCTTGTCGCACTGCAGCGGCTCGTAGTTGCCGTTGGGCTCGCAGTGCAGCGTGATGTCCTTGCGGTCCGCCGCCGTCATCTCCCAGAACTTGCGCGAGCATGCTGCCGGAGAGAGACATCAGTCTGGGGGACGCTGTGACGGGCTCGGGTGGGGTGACGGGAGGGGTGGGAAGGGGGAGGTGTTGTCCCACGCTCGCCGTTGGAGCTCTCGTTCCCTCCGAGTAGACCCCCGTAGGCGGACTGGTGATCATGGGGTACGTCAGAAGCGGATCGGTCGTCACAATCGGTCCGCAGTTTGGGTGAGGTCAGGTTGCAGGAGAGTGTCAGACCCCCGTAGGATGAATGCGATCCGTTACGTGTACGAGGAGCACGCGGAGGCTAGGCATGGGCAGGCTGTCCTGCATGGAGAAGCAGGCAGGCCGCGAGGCCCAAACCAACATGGGAACGATTTATGCCCGCCGTCCTTATCCGCATTTTAAAGGCCAAATCCGTCGCCTGGCTGTCGCATGCGTAAATGCAGTGTGGTCGTTGCTTGGCAAAGTACATATGCACGGGGCTGCTCACCGCACATTATTTGGCCACAATGCGAAGTCGCGGGACAGAATTTGGCGGAATGCAGAGTGGCTCATCGCATGCCAACTGGCTCATCTGTGGCTCAAGAGTGGCTCATCGCATGCCAACCGGTTCGGAGGAGAGCGAAGCAGCTCATCGCATGCCAGCTGGTTCGTAAGAGAGCGAAGCAGCTTATCGCGGCGTGACGTTTGGGTGACTTACCAAGTCTCCTCTGATTGCGGTATTAAACCGGGCGGAGCAGAGTTTGGCGGGACGTGGGATGACGCAGTGGGTTACCCAGCGACGGTGTGAGGTCAGAACGGGGCAAACGCCGACGGAGTGCGGCAGGGCTCACCGCACGTCATCAGGTGCCGGTTCGTGTGCAGATCACGCCCGAAGATGCGTGTGCCGTCGGACGTGACGCAGAAGCAGACGCCGGAGGTGGTGCGGTCCTGACACTGAACGGGCGCGTACGTGCCGTCCGGCAGACACTCGGGGCGGTACCAGTAGGTCTTGGGCGGGCTGGCTGTCAGGTAGTCGTGCAGTGCCTGCAGGCACGGCGTGGTGCTGTCGGCCAGCTGGCACCGGCCGTCGGTGCAGTTTAGGCCGGGCCCGCAGTCGGTGTAGTTGACCAGAGCCAGTCCCGACTTCATCACGATCGAGTACTGGGACTGCTCCGGCGTGGTGCTGGCAGGCAGGCAGGTGGCGCTGAAGCCTGGCGACGGACAGCGCGTCATTTGGGACCGCAAATGTGTGCGGCGTTTGCGAGCAGACTGTTACGGTCACAGGTGGTAACTAACAGGAACTCCTGCATGCACTGGGAAAATTGAGACCGGTATTACAAGTTTTTATCTCAATGCCTCAATCGGCTCTCATTAACAGTCGCCACGAGTGGTTCTTTGACAATATGCACCCACCCACCGCAAGCTGTGTTACTGCTCCTTACAGGTTTAGTTCAGCGCAGCAGAGCTTCTTACCTTTGTACGCGACGCAGCCAGAACAGAGTGAGCAGCCAAGCAGCTTTTCCTGGTACATGTAGCCGGCGGGACATTGGCCCTTCTTCGCGGCGCCCTCGCAAACAGTGAGATCACTGAGGTGAGGGGGACAATTGGTGGCGGCTCTGGCAGAGAGCGCCAGCGCCGCCAGCAGGCCGAGCAGCACCAGGCGACCCATGCCGTGCTATCTGCACCACCGAGCGTTGGCCGCCGCTGGACGTGACTGTAGCGCGCTCTGGCGTGTCCGCGTGTCCTTATGCTCCTGGCACCGACTGCACCCTCCGGCGAAGCCCCGGGCGCACACTGCAGCGCGGGTGGCGTAGGTACACCCCTCTCTGCGCACGGTACACTCCTCGGCCACTGAGAGGTGCCACCGCCGAGGCGCGCGGTGCTGTCTCTGAGGGAGACGGCTAGGTCAGTTGCGGGCAGGCGGACAGCGACTGCTCTGTCGTCAACGTCACCGCGACCACGGCCCAGCAGTCGGCGTCGGACTGACGCCCCCTGGCGCCGTGCTGTCCGCGGCGGCAGCTTGTCAGATAGCAGCCAGCCAGCCCTGTCTGCTCTGCCGCCGCGCGGATCCGGCTGATAATCGGGGCACGCTATCTGCTCACGTGCGTCATGCTGATACAAGGTCCCGGCCGGGCGATCGAACATAGCGCGAGGCAATGTTGGGTAACTTGACCTACCTCGTCGTGGAGGCGCGGCACTGTCTTGAAACTTACTAGTCTTCACAAATGTAGCCTGTATACACATATAAAGCTTACTGCATAGTCTTACTGCTGTTTGTGAACAGCACTGCCAGGCCCATGGCTTTTGACTCACAGTGGCAAATAGATAGCTGGATCAGTAGATTAGCTACCGACGTGTGACAAGCCGTTATCGATCGTTGATTACGGGTCGGGGGTGCAGTTGGCAGATTGCCGCTTCGTTTTCGGGAAAAGTTTTGCGTCATACTATCTTTCGCATGGCAAGAACAGTGAAATGATGCCACCTAACTATGGGCGGTAGTAGCGCAAATGAGGCTATTGGTTTGGCGGAATCCCAACCCAGATGCAGTTACGTTGCAACGTGTTCGCCCATGGCGTTAACACAAGCGTTATGTTCGCGCAGCTGCAGCCGCAGAATGCATAATGCAGCACATCTCCTTAACCCCAGCTAGGCACAGCTAGGCGACGAAGCGTGCTGTGTCTTGTAAACATCATGTGCATATGACCTCTGTATCGCACTTGGACTTGAGAAGACATCAAAATGCTCCTAGCAGTATCTTTACTGCGGATTTAAGCAGATCTCAGCTGCGAAATGAATCCTAAACAACTCTAAAAAATTTCACAACTCTTTCACACTTAAATTTCACACTTAATTTCACAACTTAAACAACTCTAAAAACTTTCACAAATGCAGTGGTGGGAGTCTGGAAATTAAGCACCGTTGAGAGGGCAGGAGTCTCCCTCTCATTATTTCAAGAACCACAAGCGATAGGGTAGAAAAACTCGCGATGTAGATAGGTGCTGTAAGGAGTTATATTCTTTAAAAAATTTATCGAGCTAGGCCAGTATTTTAGCCGTCAAATGAGTTCAAATCTGTCAAGCTTAGGACGTTGTGCATAGCTTGGTTTGCCATTCTTGTTAACCACTACAATTTCGTTTCATTTTAAGCTGTGCTCATAATATGCGATACATTAATGATATAAAGGCAGGACTTAACTTAAGTTAAATTTTAAATAAGCAAATTATGCTGCGTGTACCCGAACACACATTTCGAGGCGAAACTACAATTATCTTAACACAGCTTGACAAGTCGGTGTTGACAGTTAACAACTAACATTGTCCCGTAACAAGTTCAACGGAAATTGGTCTTGTTCTCCCATGAGACTTCCGTTCTGCAATTATGCACTTGTATTGAGAGAGAGCCAGTGCTAATCTCCACTCTCTAACGCTGGCTATACTGGTGACTTGCTCGGCATGTAATTTCAAAATAATCCGGTCATTTTTTGTATTACTATTTTTGCCCTCGCTAAACGAGGGACAAGCGGGACCCCACAAGCTCCTAGTTTTTTCTTGAGTAGTTTGGTAAGCCATAATGCCCGGGGTTGTCTGTAACGAGTGACATTACGAATGTTGTGACGTATTGTCCCGCGTATTCGACGCGCACAAACACAAACGCAAATGTCTTACACGCAATTTCTGTAGGCTGTAGGCATTCTCACAGTCATTCCATGGGCACTGCTGGATTCCCAGAAACACCAAGTTGTCGACCTGCGGCAGTCGCGGGGCAGAACAAGCTTCTGCAGGCAGCTGCGCAGCTGGCCTCGGCGATTATTTTATTATTTATTATTTTTTTATTATTTACTATTAGTGCTGTGATTGGCGGCGCCACCACGCTGTCGGTCTGACCGCGTCACATCGGCATGTCAGCGGTCACTCGCGTGGAGCACGCGGCACCTCTCAATGTGCACCTCTCGACAGCCGGAGCGGCTCCGATGCGGCCGCCACCGAGGTTTCAGCGCGGGCCACAAACCAGGTTACAGCAACGGCCGTCCAGAGCAGCCCCGCCGGCGAGGCTCCAGCGCGACAGCTAAGAACGCTCTAGCGCAACTGCCAAGGAGGTCACAGCGCGGCCACCGAGAAGGTTCCAGCGCGACAGCCAAGAACGCTCCAGCTCGACCGCCAAGAAGGTTCCAGCGCTACCGCCGAAAGGCTTAGCGCGGTCGTCGAGAAAGCTTCAGAGCGATCATCAAGAAGGCTCCAGCGCTATTCGCCGGCGATACTCCAGCGCGAATTGCGGAAGTTCCGCTGCATTGGACTAACATAAGTGTTGTCGACCTTTGTAGGGCTTACCTGTAGTTGCATGCGGACGAACAGCTAAAGCCGTTCCAGATGGTTATGATTAGGGACAACGTCTAGCGCGTCTGGGATTCGGTAGTAATGCCGCACCTCTGGTTATGAAGGCTATCGTTCAGACCGTGCTGGTGCAGGGCCAGTATGTCACATTACCTGGGCTGCCGTATGTATACTGGCGATATGTTAGCCGCTGAGGACATCGTCAGCGCTGAGCGTGTGGTTGCTGACTTCGTCAGTACGGCCTCAAGTGTGCGGTGCCTGAGTGGGCGGCTAGCTGCAGATGCAAAAAGACTCACGCCTGTCTCCCACAAAACACAACTGGTCTGATCTGTATCCTTAACATGCGCCCGGGTCACCAGTTGTATAGCCTTCGCGCGGGTTGGAGGGTCAATTTGATCCCCTTTTTTCCACTCATTTGAGGCCTTCATTTCAATGTCGGCCTGGCTGCTGTAGACTTCCGCATGGACTCCGCTACCGTCCACCGATGGAGTCATGACGCTCCGTGCAATCGTGCGCGACTCCGCACCAAGGCACACCAAGGCGCATGGGTCCAACAGCACCTGAAAACAATATCGCCTATGGTTTTGTGACGTCATCGTACAAACAGCTGGCAGCGTTGGCGACCTTCTCTATCTTTGCATAATCATTGCCGTGCAAAACTCGCACTTCCTATTATGATCCCAGTTAGTTAGTGCGGAACCCATGCAATATCGGTATCAACATATGCAAATTGTATTTTTGAACATCTAAGCACATTCAGTTGGCCTTAATTCAATATGATGACAATTTAAAACGTTTTATATCACGCCTGTACACCGATCAGCGCGCTAAGTCTGAGATGTGACGGGCAGCGTAAGAGGCCTACACTAGCGATGTTGGGCCTCTTACCTCAGAGCCGCCGTTCCTCTTAACAGTAGGAAGTCCCATGTCAATTTTTTGACATGTGTCGTTCCAACGTTCTCCATTTGCCTCTGAAACTACAGTTCAGGTATCCACAAACAACCGGTCTCTTGTGTCGGCATGGCATTTCAGTGTCATAACTAGGAATATCTTCAATGGTAGATCCCTAGAAAAATACGTAAGTTGCTCAATGCATTAGCGAGGAACATTATTCAAATAGATAAGACAGCAGTATTGGCCTTATTTCTCGGAGAAAAACCAGGAGAATGGAGATATAGTTGGGCTGATATTTCGGCAGCATGCCTTTATCAAAACAATAGCAGAAGTGAATTCAGAATTGCCTGCCGATGATCCTGCTCGATTTTTTTCTGTTTTTTTTTTGCGAAAGCAAGCCACAGAGTTTGCGAGACACCAACATTCAGGGGATTAAACAAAGAGCGATTGCCAGCCATTACCACGATACAGTGCCTACCTAAGAATTAAAATGCGCGAACATACGTGTACATGCAAACGAATTCAAGGAAATAGGCATCACGCATCGCGCTTCATTCAAACATGCAAGCGAGTTGAAATAAACAGGCTTTATACATCGTGCATCAATTAGACATGCGAAGGATTCCAATTGAACATGCATGGTACATCATGCGTCAGGTATCACTTACAAATGCAAAGGATTTTAAGTAACACACATCACGCATAAAGGCATCTATCACGTTCGCATAATCGGCCATGATGAGCCCTGTAGGTTAGATTTGGTCACCGACTTTCTATAAGAATAGATTCACTGATTATCCTATCTGGGTGGTCCTGTGCTCTGTAGATGATTTTAGGCTCTAAAAGGGACAGGGTGCATATTTTCCTCGATTTCAGCCTGTGCCACTAACCGAAGCAAAAATTTTAAAAATTGAAATAGATATGTGAAGTCTGTTTACGCTCTGCCCCTTTTGGAGCTTAAAACCATCTACAGAGCACAGGACCATCCAGACAGGATAATTAGTGAATCTATTCTCATAAAAAGTGGGCGACCAAATATTAACATACAGGGCTCATCATGGCCCATTATGCAAACGAGATATGTGCCTTAATGTTTGATGCGTGCTAGCTCAAAATCGCTTGCATTTGTAAGTGATACCTGGCGCATGATGCACATGATGTTCAGTTGGAATCCTTCGCATGCATAATTGATGCGCGATGTATGAAGCCTGTCTACTTCAACTCGCTTGCATGTTCAAATAAAGCGTGATGCGTGATGCATATTTGTTTCAACTTGTTTGCATGTACACGTATGTTTGCGCATTCTAATTCTTCGGGATGCAATGTTTCGTGATAATGGCTGGCAATCGCTCTTTGTTCAATCCCCGGAATGCTGGTGTGCTGTAAAAGCTGTGCCTTGCTTTTTAAAACTGAAAAATCGAATGGGATCATCGGCAGACAATTTTGAATTCACTTCTGCTATTGTTTCGATAAAGGCATGTTGCCGAAGCATGAACCCAACTATATCTCCATTCTCCTGGTTTTTCTCCAATGAATAAGGCCATTACTACTGTCTTATCTTGTCTGATCCTTAGAAAAACCGCACAGCGCCTAAAAACTGACGATTAGCTACGTTCTTCTAGCCAGTCAGCTTCCCTCGGCACGAACGCAACCAACGGCAGCCCACAGCCTCGCACCGAACCCAATTGATAACCGCGAAGCGAGCATTCGAGCCATCTGTCTCAAATGGCATGACGCTTTAAAACGCCGCGTAGCAAACTGATCACGTTGTTTGCAAAATGCT